TACAAGTAATAAATGTTACCAAAAACTGTCGCGTTTATTGAATAAAGTTATTATTACACACGGAGGCTATTTAGTCATTAAAATTTTAACCGTATTTTTTTGTTCTGCATTTTCTGTTTCTATTACTAATATTCTTACGCGGCTAGCCTCTTTCCATTTTCTCTATTGTAAAAGTTTATACAGTTAAATAATTTGTAGATAATCTACATCATATACATGAGAAAGAGAATATCACCAAACATTTTTCATTGCAGAATGTGTAATAGTTTGTCTCGTTTTCATACTTCTTAATGAAGAAAAAAGAAAGCTTTTGCTAACTTTAAACTTTATAATAGCTAATAAATAATGTCCTTTTTCATACAGATCAACTGGGAAAACTATTATCGCGTGTGCAACGTAATATAATATCAGATAATCCTAATTACGCGTACGCATGTGATAGGACGTGTGCCATACAATTTCCGAACAAAGAAAATATTTATGAAAAAGTCTAAACACATTTTTATCAAAGATTTTGCTATCTTCCAACTACTTTGATGATTATTGCGTAAGTTGGTTGTAAATTGTGCATAATTTTGACTTGCGACTATTTATGTTACGCAGTTCCGAAAGTAAGAAATAAGCACCAACCCCACAATTTTCTAATGCATGTGATTGTTTATACCAGACGGTGGGGGACCATACGGTGTGCGACTGTCACGATCTCATCGAGGTGAGGGTAAATATAATGCAATCGTATAAATGTTTAGAAGATGCTTATTTTCGGAACTACAGTATATTGTATTATCGTTATTATTTCAGTTTTTGTAGTTATCTTAGTATTATACATTGTACTAGTACAACAACATTAAACTGCTATTGACCTAATTCGACTGTAAAGACGCCTATTGGAATACTTAATAGCCAAAGATTTGGTTCTTTTTGTAGCACAGAATCTTTCCCGTTTTAGCCTACCCCCTGTGGCGTTTATGTTTATCGTTATGTTTGCTTTGTCTTGCCTCATTTATCACTGATTCGCATATAAATAGTGAGTCATATTTCAATTTCTGATTGCCCGCGCTTCGTCTCAACTACTATAACTTACAGCATTGTTCACCTAAGCTCACCTAAACAACATGTTAAAGCTTGAGGAGTTACAGGTGAGAAGCATAATCACTTAAATCTAATAAAACCATCTAAAAACGACCGAGCATAAAGGCAAATGAACAGACTAGGTTGTTGGCTTAACGCGAAATGACAGATCTCTATCAAGAAGTAAAGGTGCTATAAGGCGGTGAGAACTAAGTGTCAATGAACCACCTTTAAACTTTGCAACTACAAACTCACACGTATTTAGGATGAGTTTTGCCCGCCCCTGGATCTTTCCCTCGTAGAGGAGATGTTCAATGAGCGAACCGACGACGACGAATGCTATGGTTTTCTTATGGTACTTAAGGACAATGCGGAAGCTGAAACAGACAAAGGCTCTGACAACGACGCACCAATAAGCTTTGCTGTCGAGCAAGACCCGTTTGAGCAAGACCCGTTTGAGCAAGACCCGTCTGAGCAAGACCCGTCTGAGCAAGATCCGCCTGAGCAAGATCCGCCTGAGAAAGATCCGTCCGAGCAAGAACCGTCCGATCAAGACTTGGCCGAATTGAGTACTCGTTTCTATGATTATGATGTAAACTTGCTGCAGAAGATTTTGGTAATAGCTGGAGGTGAACTAGAGACGGCGATCGATCTGATGCGTTTTATCATCGAAGAGGATACCAAAAATGGTCAACGGACATGGAGTCAGGTCGTAGGATCGTCAACGTCTCCTAATAAATTTTCAAATAGTTATCATCGCGAAACTGGTGAGTACTCTGCTGTAGGCAACTGTAAACTGTCAGTAGGGGAGGGGAGCTGGAGGCAAAATGCTAGCTCTAGTAAGGTCATAAGTGCCTCACCGGCTTACGATAGGGACAAATCACGATCTTCTCGTACTTACGACGATGAAGAAGAAGAAAACCGATATAATAATGATTATGAGGATGATGATAATGATGATGACGACAATGAAGATGGACGCATAAACGATCCGGTCTATTGTCGAAAAAAAATCAAAGAGTATAAAAATAAGCGCGACGAAGCATTCCGTCTTGCTAACAGCATATATCAGAAGACTAGAAATCGCAAACGAAATGAAGCTCATGGCTACTACTCGGAGCAAGTAGGTTCCGTCGACCATTCGGGCGCCGCCTTTCTGTCATGCATGAATACAGTACTTGCTGCTCCCAAATGAACTTAGGTCGTGACTTTCATAACAGGGACGTGCGCATGATGCGGAAATGAAGTTGTGGATTTTGCGTGCTGCTAGAGCACAAGTCCGTCAGAAAAGGTTGCTAATCGATGAATTTATAATCTTCGTTTTGCTGTCAACTTTGTATTTTAGTTATCATGATCATTGAGAGAAAAGAATATTAATCAATGTATACTTATCATTACATAGCAAGGCGAGAGGAGATCCTAATTTTGTAGATTTGCATGGATTGACTGTTCTCGAAGCTTTGGCCGTGGTGAAAGATGAACTGAAACGTTGGTCTTCGACACCTATGCAATCAGGTTAGTCAGCGCTCGACTAGCATACGTTCGAATCGAGGACAATATTGACTTCCTTTTCCTCAGGATCCAACAAAAAACCTCTACAAATCATAACTGGGGCAGGCAACCATTCACACAATAACGTACCCAGGCTTTGGATCGAGGTCGGAGATTATCTAGAAGAGACTAATTGGAAATTTGATAAAGACAGGGGTTCTTTCGTTGTGTGGGGACGAAATGGATCTTCGTAGCCCGCAATTTTTATTTCTTTTCCTTGATTGTTGTGGTATATATATACGTGCATTTTTTACAGGTAGATCGTTATGGATTAAAGGGATGGTATTGCATTGGTATCCTTTGTCACGAAATAGTTGATTATCTTATGAACCTTTGGTATCGTTAAATTATGAATTGGGTGTACAGCTTTCTGTATTGTAAAGAGAGTACGGACAAATTGTTAAATATGTATGTTTTATGTTTTTCAACCAAAATACCCTCGCTTACATACCACGAGATTCTCCTCTTTCCCTATGACGAGTCTCCCTGAAACGTCTTCAGCCCACAATAGAGATCTTGCTGCAGCATTAAGTTTTCCTTGTCTTTCTAAATCGGATGCCTTTTCAATGTCGTACACGACGTGATTTTGCGCAGTTGACAATCCGCTGAGACAATAGCAAGTATGATAAAAATCTGGCCCTTTTGGTGGTTTATCCACAAGACCACCCTGTTGATATTGGGCTGCAATAAGGAGGTATTCTTGAAGAGCCTCTGTTTAAGACAATGGCTCGGTTATGTCTACAGATTCTGTCTAATACAATCACAGTTCCATTCGATCTCCAACTCACCTCTATTGAACAATAGTTGACACACCGATGGCTTGATTGTTTTCTTTTCCCTCAATTTTTGACGCAGCCTGATCGTTTCGAGCAATGGATACAGCCCACCAACCCAGAAGGAATAACATCCATCAACAAGTTTGTTTGGTCGACCTTGGAACCCGCCTTCAAGTGGCATTTGTAGAGAGACGGCCCATCGCTTTCATGATAAATTGTATGGTAAGCAAGAATAAGCCTTAATCTTGGGGGTACATACGTAGACAAACGTAAACGTACTAATAACTTGGAGACATCCAGTTTTTCAGAAACTCCCATAAGTTCCATCGCAGCCAGACCGCAGAACGCGTATCCACCATGTGCTTCAATACCGGGAACACCACCAATACCGCCTTCGTATGTTTGGCATCTGGTCGACGGGTGAAAATCAATTTAATCAACCGTGTGCGCACACGTAATACTATTTTATTTGCATAATGCCTTACTTTTTTATCCACTCTGGAGTTCCTTCGATCAATTCGTGTGTAAGTATGTTAGTCAGTACTGCTATAGAGAGAGCGCAGTAAACACCACTATGAAATCCATTCACAGTAATTAGGACATTGCAACCAAGATTTCTTTTATATTTGTGCCCAAACTATCTCTCACCGTATATCAACTTCTCCTCCTTTGTGCATGATAAAAGATCCATCGGGCTGCTTTAGGCTTAAAAGCCATTGGTAAAGGTTCTCTCTGATGTAATAAAGTCGATGAGTTTAAAATCGCAAGGGGTCTAAGTTTCTCATTAGTATCAAATCGTTACCTGTCAATTATGTCATAAGCTTCTTGGGTTCCAAGAACAGCCAAAGCATTAACGGCAGCATATGAAGCAGCCAGGTGTGAAAGCTGACCGAATCCGCCACCAAAGCCTCCTGTCGGGTTCTGATATTTGGAAAGCATGTCGATAGCACTGTATGACGCGCAGTGTATCGTTTAGTTTAATAGATCCATTAAATAGCTTGAAAAGTACGTATAGCCTACCCTTGCATGAAATCGGGTTCAATCGTGTGTCCAAGAATGTCCAAAGCATGCACAACCCAATAACAGATCCATGGTCTGCTAGCATCAAGGACCACGAAATACTTGTTCAATCCTTTTGATCCGCTCAACAAGTAATTCAAGTGACGTTCTCTCTCCAGAGTAACGCTTGGAATATAAACAAACTCGTATTAAGAATGTTTATCAAAGAAAACGAAAATTGGCATTACCTTCGATATTGGTATTATTGATTACTTACTTGCTCAGATTGTCAGTGTCCTGGACTTCCTTATATAACTTGTAGACTTCTACTTCAGTTTCAACCTAATGAATTAAGCATAAGTGAAGTGCATATTCGTATACATATCGTCAGTGCTCTATATACGAAGAGAGTTACCTGAAGTGTCCAAGAGTGAGTTATTTTTTCATCGTGTTTGGTAAATAAAGAATCCAGAGGAACGGGCCCATCGAGTATACCCATCTTAAGTTAAGAAGGCCTTACCGAGGGAATGACAAGGCTGTATAACTTGAGCGTCGCATAACATGCAAAAACCTGGAATCACGCAATGTATCTGATCCGTAGTAACACACATGATATTTGATACGAAATGTCGCGCGCCCTTTGAATTCGCAAATGGATCATCCACCAGGGAATGGTGTTGGTGAAGATGATAACGATCCATGGATTGGTATAATCAATTATATTTGGTGTTTTAAACAATAACAAGCTTTCGTGCATTGCAGTGTTTTAAGAATTATCTGGTTTTGTCGCGGGCCCCCCCCCCCCCCCCCCCCCCCCCCCTCTGTATGCTCTATTACGGCGCATAGAACCACAGCAATAGACAAATTAATGAATTAATTAATCGAGACAATGGTTACTTCCAGATGTTTGTATATTGTTTGGCTTGATAAGTATGAATACGGCCATTGTCCATTGTTCAGCCAGTTTTGTCAGGTGATTGCATTCAATCACATGAATATGGCTGTTGTACGACACCATGGCATTGTGGGAATTTGAAAAAGGCGGGCAACGGACATTCTCGTCCGCGATTGTCTCTGGTTTGCTCAATTGAAAACAAACATTCAACCCACTGGAACTAGAGACTAAACACCGATTCACTCATTGACAGTAAAAAAAAAAGGTAAAGTAGTTCTTTTGTCGTGTATATTTACTATGCTCATGCTTATATGCAATGAAAAAGACAATCTTGTTAATTTCATCTCCCTTCCATCCCCTCTTCCCCTCTTTGTCTGATTCTAAATAAACATAATTAAACAATACTAGATGAAAAAAAAAAATGCAATGTTCCTTTTTCTAGAAATTTTGAAATAAAAAAAAAAGCCAGCAGTGATTTGCTTGTAAAAAAAAATCCGTGGTTTTCTCGTGTTCGATTCAAGCATACTTTCTCCGTCGTGTCGTTATTTCTGATTTTGTCGGTGTTGTAAATGTTGACGACTGAGTTGATAATGCTGGCGATGTTGCCACTTTTGTTATATTCGGAGAATGATGGCCATTAATACCGTTATTATTATTACCATAACTCCTACTACTCCTGCCAAGATTTCTCGTGCTTGTGATTGTGATCGTACCGTTACTAGTTCTTGCTGACGTTCTCGGAGTGTCACTTCCCATTCTGTTTACATGGCTGCTGGTGGTGGTGTTGGTGTTGATGTTGATGTTGGTAGCAACATCAGCCCAAGGGTTATTTGTAAAATCTTCTGGATTGTGCCCATTCGTCTTTCTCGGATGTTCGATAACTCTGCTGCTCAGCAGACCATCTGTGTAATGCCCATTCCCACTAGGCGTTATCTCCATCGGTCCTGTTGGTATTCCAGTTATTACATTGAAGTTATCGACTTTCGGGTATAAATAATCCCAACTGACCTCTCCAATAGTTTGTGTAGTGACATCAACCTTGAGAGTAAATAATTTGCGTTTGACAAAACACGAATCGTATTCTATCTGTGATTCGGCGTATAATACTTCCTTGTCTTTGACGTACCCGGAATACAATGACGCCAAAAGGCAAGCCTGTGCTGTTGTGAATACAAGAGCGACAAGTAGAAACGGCCAGTTGTGCGTATTCATAGAGTGAATGATGAATATATTTGTAGGCGGAAAATAAGAAAATAAGCTGATGTAGAAAGTATTCGGATTCCATACTCTTAACTCCCATATTTTATCATCATCGGCGTCGTTGGTCTCTTTTTTTTTTTTTTTTGCAAACTTGTCAAGCAACAGTGCCAAGGCGGCAGCTATTAGTGAATCAGTGGTTCTATTGTTTCTCGGGTAAACATCGACAAGGTGTGCATGCTCGCTATTTGGCTTTTCCTTTGCCGGTCTGCTAAATAATTGGTAGTCTTTATGACATGCTCTGAGAAATATAATGTTTATGATACTAGCTGTGAAAAAGCCCATTTCTGTCCAACTAAAACCATCGTCGCGTGCGTGCAGTCTGAAAATCATGAGAAAGATGTTTGAAGCGAGTGATAGCGCGAGAGCCAGGATGCGCTGGAAGGCGTGCCACTCGCGGAAATCGAGATCCTCATAGAGCCCAAGGAAGCGGCTGATTAGAGATTCAGCTAAACGTGACCATATGGAGTCTCTGGGAGTTGTCGGGTCGGGGAGTGAGGAGCTGCCACGTGTGGGCATTTGCGATCGATCTGGGGCGAGTTGAGAGTTGGAAAGTTGGAGAGTGAGCCGGTAGTTATTATTTAGCGTTGTTGTTGTTGTGCGAGAAAAGGTTATTTGGTAGCAGAAAGAGATTTTGAAATCGGTCAGCCAAATTGGTAGAGTTTGTTTGTACAGATCTTACACGTAGGGATAGAAAGAGAGAGAAGGAAAGAGAAAAGAGAGCGGGTACACGGAAATCATCGTTTCATACGTTTCAAGTAGGTGCTGTGATTGGATGGATTGTAGTACAAATGGCTATTATCGAAGCAATTTCTTTTTGATAATCGCGTGTGTTGAAACAATGTAAAAAGAATTGATGACAAGATAAAGGCACAGGCAGAGGTTAAAAGAACAGTTTATGTAACAGGAAATGATAAACTGTTACATATAACAGTTAGTCATGTACATGCTAGAAATTACATTATATGGTGAGTCTGATGGCGCTAAATATATCCATTTGCGCAACTTATATTGTCATACTTTTCGACTACCCAGAATCCGTTAACAGTAACGTGACCATCATGAGCTTTTGAAATCTTGTGTCCGCATGCTGGATTTCTTTATCGAGAGATGTTTAAGGAGTAAAAAAAAAAAGTCTGTAATAATTAACAAGTTTTTCTTGAAAGGCTGATGATTACGTGGATTTTAGCTCACTGGCTAAATCGGGAATCTCGACCCCCGTTCCGCGTTCCCTTGAAAAAATAAACTTTTGCGGATTTGATACGATTTGTATTTAGGAAACTTGGAGTTTTACTACCGATACCTGATCTCTTCGTATTTACCAGCAATTGGGTGATGTAAACGGTTCTATCGTTCGACAATGTATCAATCATACGTCGAAATATTACAATGTAATAAACCGTACCATACGAATCTTGCAGATACGATATCAATTTTTCAACAATACCATCTTGATCTCAGATACTGATAAAACATTGATATAATCGTGATGCGGTTATCTACCAGTAAAAAAAGAATAGGTAGATAGAGATCTAATTCCAGATGTTATTTTCGTCAAGACTCGAGAAAATCGAAATGGATGGGTATTTCTGAAAGAGCATACATCAAATCCAAATCTACTAAAAGAACGGGCTGACCCAATTTTACCAAGACAAACATCAACACTCGTTGATCTCTTGCTTCTCGTCAGATATAATTACACAGTAAATTTAGTGATAGAGTTTATTAGTGCTATAAACCATAGCTGCTCGACCCCTCAGGCATTCTAAAACACGTACTCAAATCGAGCAAGATAATCATTCACTACTTTATCTTTTAACAAGCATTTTATCAATGTCCACCCACTTTGGGGGAAAGGTTTAACCCGCAGAGGGCTTGTGTCAAATTACTTGAAAGTTACGTCATCACTAAATCAAATGACGACATCATCTTGTTGGTCTATTACATTACATATATTTCTCCTTCGACCCCAACGAACGGTATGCATGAAACTTTAGGATATATCTGGCATTTCCAAGTGTTATCTGGAAACATCATATTTAAACTTGCAAGTTACGACATGTCTGTCTGATCGTTCAATTCGACCTTTTCCCGTGATTCGCATAAACAATCAAATATATAAAAAAAATCATTTATTCCAACCAACAAAAGCCTCATATTTCGCGTCGCGTCTATACATATTACACAGACTCATTATATGCAGCCGTTGTATACATGTTTATCGATTTGACTTTGACGTTTAGAAACTTGGCCCTCGTCTTGTGATTTTTACTTGCCCAGCACGACTTTTGCTCCGGTCTTTTTTTTTTTTCCCAACAATCGCAGGTGTAATAAACGTTGGACACAAATGCCCAAATAAGTGCATTCCCATCCTATTTTTCATACGCTCTTTGGAAATGTTGTACAAAACGTCACTTTAGCTTCCCCACTTTTGATGAACGAGTAGAAAGTAAGCTGCACATATACGTTCACTCGAGTCCTGCTTCATAACATCTATATACTCACATGTTCTTGTCTTATCTCTGCTTTGGTTCCATTTTTATCGCTACGTGAAGCTTTAGTATCCGCATATTTTTTACCCCACTCGCTAACCAAATTAATCTAATCTTTTTGCACACCGCCATATACAATAACCGCGAGTTTTCCATCACACGTACTTATTAGATCTATTTACTAGGCTGTCACCTGTTTCAGCAATATATATATATATATATAACCGAATAGAATGGATAATAGTACAACACCGTCAAGAACGGCTGCAACCAGCTCACCGAGCACTGTAAATACTCCTGCCATTTTGTCTGACATGCAGATCTACAAAGCGACATATTCCGGGGTGGGTGTATGGGAGTTCAGATGCAAAGGTAGGAATACCCTGTTTGGTCTATATAGAACAAGAACTCTGTCTAACAAAGGAACAAACCTTACAACTAATACCAATTTATTTTACGTGATGGCTCTCTTTACAGGCATCGCAGGCAAGTATCTGGTATATTAAGGAGGATAAAACAACCACTTGTATTGAATGCAACAAAGACTATAAAATACGAAATGTGTTATTTAATGTAGATGAAAGATTATATCTAACGTTTTATACAGTCATAACAATATTACATTATGGTGTATCAATTTTTCTTGTCTGCCGGTTACTTATTCATACTAACGTCTTTGTTCGGCTTTTCTAAAGTGATGAGAAGGAAAACAGGTATACTTTATTCCCACATTCAATTAATTCACTCATTCCAAGTCTCTGATATCTATTGTTCTAACAGAATCTGTGTTAATTAATCCCCCCCTCTCCTCCCCTCTTCCCCTTCGTCTACTCCCACCCCCTCCCCCCCCCCCTTTTTTGTTTATTACAGATGGATGGTTGAACGCCACCCAAATACTCAAAGTAGCTGATTTCGATAAGCCACATCGAACTAGGATTTTAGAACGTGAAGTCCAGAAGGGTGATCATGAAAAAGTCCAGGGAGGGTATGGAAAATATCAAGGTAGATTACATCGCTCTATATTCTCACGTTTGACTCATTAGTGCTTGCAATACGGGAATTTTTTCATCTAGTTTGATAGATATCAGAGAACTCACGTTCTTGTCAAGAGTGCGTGAGACACGTTATTTTGAATTCACAGCGTACACCAATTCATTTGACGCGTTCAATGATATTCTCTTCGCGTTATTCAAAGAATAACTGCCAACCGTTTATAATATAAACATTTGACATTTATCAATCTTTATCCTTTCCCTCATCAAACTGACGGATTTTTCGCCCTCAACCCACATGCAGGTACTTGGGTTCCCTATCCAATAGGCGTAGAGTTAGCAGCAAAGTACGGTGTCAAAGAAGTTTTACGACCAATAATAGACTTTGTACCAACTGCCGATAGTCCCCCATTAGCACCCAAGCACGTAACAGCGGCATCGAATAAACCACGTAAACCACGTGAACCAAAAGATACAAAACCCATCAAACCACGCGTAACGAAGAAATCTTTAAAAAAAGAACGCCTCGAATCACCTCGTGTCGAGCCAGTAGAAGAAACAGATGCAGACACAAACGAACTAATCAGCGCGGCCTCCCCACAATCCACTCACACATCAGAAGTATCTTCGCTTTCCCATACGCCGGCTCAGTTAGACTCGGCAAACGAATCAACTGAATCGGATGTTGGGTCATCCATACAAAGAGCACGACGAAAGAGAAGAAATGGTAATGACCACAATGGACGTTCTCACAAGCTATCAAGAACCTCTCTTTCTCAGTCTATAGCCAGACATTATGGAGAAGCAATGTTACGGTATTTCACCACAAATGCTGCACAAATACCAGACTTTATCATAAACCCGCCCGTCGACTTTGATCCCAACGTAGTCATCGATCAGCAGGATCATACGGCACTACACTGGTCGGCTGCAATGGCAAACATAGAAATGGCAAGATTATTAATACAAGCGGGAGCGCGGATTGATGCTCAGAATATGCATGGCGAAACAGCATTAATGCGGAGTGTCATGTTTCCATATAACCAAGAAAATAATGTATTCGATCAACTGCTGGACTTGCTTCACCAAACGATTGGTCTAACAGATCACAATAGGCAAAATGTATTGCATCATATAGCGATTGCGGCTGGAGCAAGGGGTCGAGTAGGACCATCGAAATATTACATGGAGCTGGTTCTACGGCGACTAGCAGAACATTCGGACGAGCGCATTCGCTTGTTTGTCATCAATTGCAAGAATTCGCTCGGAGACACTACGTTAGTAATTGCAGCAAAACATGCTAATAAAAAACTGGTACGTCTTTTAATGGACCACGGAGCCGATCCCACTATTAGAAACAAAGAAGGTAAAAATGTAGAAGACTACATTTTAGAATTAGATGCTGAAGCTAGAATACGTGCTAGTTCTCTTCCCAGTCCGAGTCCGTGCTCGCATCCGTACAATAATTGCGATACGATTCCTCCACCGGCTTCATCATCGGCGTTGAATGGCTTACGAGGGACTCGAGAAAACTTGCTGCCAAGTGCTACTCAAATAATGCAAGAATTTCAATCATCATATGATGAACGGCTGCGGTCGTTAGACGACGAACTGGGAAAGATGCAACAGAAGTTGGCGCAGTGTCAGAAGGATATGGAGGCTGGAAAACAGGTGGCTGAGGAAATAAATAAAAAAGCACAAGAAATAAGCGGGATGAAGAAGAAGGTGGCTGAGCTAGAGTGGTTTGTGAAAGAGGAAATTAAAAAGAATAGGGGGTTGAGGTTGGAGGAAATGGTCAATGAAGAAATGGAGAAAGAGGACAAGGCGGTTGTATGTAATGGAGGCAAGCTGGAGATGTAAGTATTATTCAACCGTTAACCATTCACCAAAAATACAAAGATGCATTTATTCCATTAACGCGATTCCAACAATTAACAAAACAGGGTCGATAAACTTCGCAACGAACTGCACGAAATACAAGAAACACGAAACCAAGCAATATCTACTCTTACAGAGAAAATAATTCACCGTGACGATAGACTTATCCGATACAAACTCTTACTGCGACTGGCCTCGTCCTTGTCGCCGGAAATTAGTTCTCTCGAGAAAAGCTTGGATACACTTGTAATGACTAATCTACCTGCAGCAGAGTGAACGGATTTTTAGGGAGGGTATGTTTTATTGGCTTTTTGTTATTGTGTTTGGGGTTTTGTCGGGGTGAGAGGGGTTTGTGTATGCGCGTGCGAGTGTGTGTTTGAGTGTGTGCGTGCGTGTGTGTGTGTGTGTGTGTGTTTTTGTAGTGTTGGAAAATTTTTTATTTGGAAAGCAATTTATGTTTGACATGTATTGTAATTAAAATGTTAATAAATAGCTAAGATAATCTTACTTTTAAATGAAAAAAAACAACACTGAAATCCAAAATCTCTAGTGCATATCGCCCTGGTTTACGCGGTGAATACTACTAGATCCTGACACATTCCCAACCGCCCCTGCACAGAGCCTCCTCATCCTCCCTCCTCCACCCATCTCTTCCTCCCTCCTCTGCAGAATTAGGTTGATTATTAAGCATATGTTTATTATGAAATGGCTACTGGAAAACTCTGGATCATGAAAAAAAAAAAAACAAAAACAGATGTCGCTTTTCTGTTACCAGCAAAATAAGAACAAAATCGTAGACCAAATATATATAACGGGTGGTCTATTGTAATGAAAAGCCGACAAATCCAATCCCCGTCAAAAAGAAAAAGATTGAGAACGTGAGACAAGTGGACAATATCACATAACATTGTTAGATCAGATATTGACATTGGTAACAACCCAAATTTACAACAGTCGTACTAATAACGAACGTTAAATATTGAAAAGATCAAAAAAAAAAAAAAAGAGGAAGACAAAAGGATTATCAATAAAAAGCTCATTCTACAAAGTCTATGGATAATTCGCCATTCTCGGTTGTTCTGAAGTAACGTGGAGGCATCGGGAGGTATCATGAGCTATCATGTCGCGAGGTGGTAACGTTTTGCAGAATATTATCCAACACCAGTTTACAATGAACAGTATCGTGAGGCATCGACGGAATAGGAAGTAGAACGCCAGAGTTGTGTCGTCGTAGGTGTCGTGAGGATGTCGTGAGGATGTCGTGTCCAACATTTTCGCTGTAAAGTGTTTGTAATCCATACCGTCTTCCCTCATGAATTTAATTCAATCATTGTGATGGATCTAAATTTTCCGAACAGAATACACGCTTGGAATCGTGATAGGATGGAATTAGGGCTTGTAGGAATCGTAAAGAAGATGGGGGGGGAGGGTAAAACTAATATCATAACGTGTAATTTGCAGCATTTGATTCTGAGAAATTCAATACAGATATGGGGGTAAAGTCTTACTGCCATCTGTCGTTTGATAACTAAAGATCTAACGTTTTTACAAGGAATCAGACTTAATTTGGTTGTCGAACAGCTTCCGTAAGAAATGTGTGACTCTTACTTTCCATCGTGTGATCAGTTGCCTCCGTAAAAACAATAGTAAGAAGAGAGAAAAAAAAGTTACGTATTAATGACAGCATACATTTAATGTGAAGATCCGGTTTCGTGACAAGTGTGTTTGTAAAGAAATCGTGTACACAACTTGCAAAATGAAAACCTGCGATTCAAACCAGTTGAATTCTCAAACGTCTGACATTTCAATGACGTACTAGTACGTTCGTTTTTGTAATTATGAACAAGTACATGTACAGTGTTCTTCATCCCAACGAAAGACGTAACGTAGCGAATCGAATGAACGAACAGACGGTTCTAGAACGTAAGATTGTTACACAAACTTAAAAATCTCACACAGACGCTCACTTCATTTATATTACCAAAAACGGTCTAAAGTTGATAGCCAAAAAATGCAGGAAACTTGTTTGGTAATACTATTAAATATCCTTACAAATAATGACAATCGGGGGGGGAAACATTAAACAATAGGAAATTTGTAAATTATGGATATCAGTCATTTAGCAGTTACCGAACACGTCATCGTATGGCGTGCGTTTTAATTTTAATTAAAAAACTTACGTCGGTTTTCGTTCACCCCTTGGTTGCCGTGCATAGATGAACACGCGGGAGATTTCCTTAATATAATCCTTATTATTTGGATCTCGTTAGTCTTTAATAAAACAAGCTTAAGATTTTATAATGGTACGCACATTCAACGAATATGGTAAGATCAACTGGTTCGCTGAAAGATAGTTTTAACAGATTGAAGAGTTTTAATAGTCATTTCATGCGCAGATTACTTGAATTGCAACGTTTACGGTAATTGAAAACATGGTGGACATTTACCGCGTAAATTTGTCTCTATCACACCAAACAAAATAAGATGCAGAACTGAAAGCACCCACAGAAAATTAACACTTTGCTAAGCGATCTTAATATCGTTAAGGCTTTTTTTTTTTCCAGAGTAAGCCATTAATTCACTATTCACATATGCCAACTCTGGTAACGATTGTTTTGAATATATTCAAAAATGATATCATCATGTCGAGATTGATACATCACTCTTATCAGAGATTTGGATGTACAATGAGGTTATTTCACGTTGTGAAAACTTTATAGTGGTTCTTCGTGAACAAGTCGAATGACATCATTAGTTAAAATTTTACAAAAAAATACTTGATTTTATTATCAGTCATGGATCTTGGGAAAAATTCCGCTTTTTGCTTTCAATAATTAATCTCGTTGTCCTCGCTCCGTGATAAAGTCAAATGACATCATTAATTAAAAAAAAATAATACCTGATTTTATTACAAGTCGTGTTTTTTGAGAAAACTCTGCTATGTTTTATTGTTCATTTGCCCCAAATTTTTACTGAATCATGTACAAAACCTGTATGTCTCCTTGACTGCGGAAGAAGAGCTAACCAAGTTTTTGAGAAGTATTTGAGAATACGTAGGTGTCTGTTTGACAATTTATAGTTACCTCTTGATATTATTAAGACTTCCGATTTTGTAAGTTTCTTGTTACGAAATTACATAATAATAGTAAAAGCAATATGGAGACCCATTTAATAAATTTATGTTTGAAAGCTATAAATTGGGAGCAATTCGAGGTTTTTTCCCTCACTTCCCAACCGACATAGTAGTCAACTGAAGAAACATTCAAAAAAAAAACTAAAATGAAATCTGTCTATTTTCTTTTCCTCTCTGTCGCTTTGATTCTCGCCAATCTTACGCCATTCGATGCCTCTCCTCTCGAAAAAAGATGGAATAAGCCATGTTGCCCTGTTTCTAGATGTGTATTTACGCAAGGCGACATTCCCGCGGTTGCGCCTCCTGGATTTGCTGGCAACACGTTTAATGGGTATCTCCAATTTGTGCAATCGCCCAGACCCACCCTGCAAATCGACGGCATTATAAATATCTTTGGTACAGTAAACGGGCCAATTGAAGGTGTCTATGATGTTCACGTGGCCGATTGCAGCACAGCCAACACCACTACGCCTGGAGATCCCGCCATTCTCGACTTGGACTTTGCAAGTTTCAACCAGCCAATCTTTTCAGCGTCAACCGTATCGATCGCCGACATCCAAAACCAGTGTTGCTTTGTCGTGGACGAATTTTCAACTAACGAGAGAATTCTTGGAATTGCGCCAGTAATTCCTGTCGTAGACTGCGCAAATATTACTAGCAGTCCTGTTCCTACTGTTACCGCTGGTCCCAGCAACCCATCATCTTCACCTTAAAGCAAAAACAATGGGCGGCATATTCAACGTTTGAAATTATTTTATTAGTTCGCTCTGGCAATTAATACCATATTGTTATTGTCTGTTCTTTGTTGCTGTTTTTTTATTATTTTTACTTTCTTTATTTTTTCAAGTAAAATCGTAAAAAGATTATCAATAATTTAAATATTTATTCTGTTTATGTTACCCTGCTTTATTTTTACTTGAAAGAAATAAATGTAGCAATATGCTCGTTTGCTAGTAATTAATAAATCATTAATTTGTCAACAAACCAAGCTGTTAACCGTATAGCTTCTCGGAACATAAACTTTTATCGTTGTCATCGATTGTGGTTGTTACAATTCGTCGATTTAAGCTCATAATACAAGTATTATAAAATGGAGATTGAATTTATATATTCATTTTCCGGGTAACGATGCTTGATCTTACATTCGATAAGTCGGTCTCGTAAAAATTAGTTTGCCATAGCACATAATAATAACATGAAACAAATTTGATTACCTTACAACTAATTACAATCTTACTGATTAAAAGATTTTAAATTGATGGAATTGTACAAACAATACGATAAACGGCTTTGTATCAGCTAATCAAATTGAAGACAAATTTCGTGTTCCTCTATTCCACATATTATTCCGTTGCTTTTCTTCTCACTTCCAGACTTTAAGTGTTCATCCTTTGCAAAAAAGGACCACATTTTCGAAAGTCATTAGAACCCTTTTCGCAACACAATCTTTTATTCTTCACACTTTTTAATAAAGCCGTGTGTGGTGGGGATGGGAAACAGATGAACGTTGCAAATTTTTGCTTCTGATGTGATTAATCTGCCAATCAAGGGGCGTTACAAATTGGAACGAACGGAACAGAAATGTTGCACAGTTTTTGGAATTCCTTGTTTATACAAGCAGTAAACGCGTATGAGCGCGGACATTTCTTCAATTTTGTGCGATAGATCAATTTATAAACAACCGATGTTTGGATAATTTTCTAATCGTATTCATCCGTAATTATAATTATCTTTGTACATTAATATGTGTTGAATAAAAAGCTGCTTAACGAGCAAGTTTAGTTACGTCACAAACGCAACGACAAAAACCAATTTTGATAAAGCTCCAATTACGTGAAAATTTAAGTAATTCTGTATATCGAGTATTAGTAGAGTCTACTCTAATTTTTCTTACGACATAATTAGCCCCGCAGAACCGGAGATTCGTGTAACTGAGCGAAAATCTTGGAGGAATACGTAAACGTTAGAGCTTATCCATGACAAGTCATTTTTGTCGTCGGATTGTTAATTTGTCTGATCATTTTTTTTTCATACAGTAAAATGTTTTTATACAGGTTGTCATATTTCTCTGATTTTTGCTATATTGGTGGAATGATTTTTAATATAATTATGAGGGTTATTTTATACTGGCCAAAAAAGTTTCTGTGGCCGGGTTGACCAGTAAGGAGGTTTTACTATCTTATTAATTGATTAGTAGGTTAATACATTTTATATCAGATATCTGAGTTTAGCATAAATTTATAATGGTACTATATTACATTAATAATGATTTTATGTAAAAGTTATTGTTGTTTACTGGGGGAACATTATTAAAAAATTATTTGATATATTATTTGGGGCGTGCTGCAACAAAACCAGACAAAGTGAACATTGACGCCATAGTTTATCGTTATCGTTATAACGTGTGTATTAAGCTCGCTCAGTCAGGCGGGACCGTATGGCAACAGTCGGTTACCATACGGTATAACTAAAAATGGCCATAGGAATCTCCCTTGCCGTATCCAATGCGGTAGAGGCTTTAGTTCATAAAACCATCCTCTCTCGTACGGGAAATGACCTACAATGACTTAGAGATATGCGTTAAGTTCGGTACCTAGTGATAGCGGAGTTGCTGCACAAAGGTGAGTACCTGGATTCACAGCGACCCTTAGCGACCTGATACTATCATAGTAATAGGTTTGGTGTTTTACTATTATAGCTGTAAGGTTTCAGAACCGCTCACCAAACACCCGATCAAAGATAGAACAATGGAGCTAGTGGGGAGAAAATCGCGCAATCGCGACAGATCAAAGCCAATGATAAAGCCTAACATAAAAATACCCCACTTCTTACCGTTACAGGGCGATACCACCCTTTCTCTTCTCGGGTTCGCTGTATTTACTCTACATTGAACCTTCACGATGTTCAGAACATATTTGCTCATGTTAGACTCAAAAAGCCCCGATTGCTGCGAGATCTAATGATGACAATCACCCAAAGAAATCAACCGTTACTCCAAACTGCAGCGGAACCAGATCCGGGCATACTATTATTGATGGATGGTTATCGTTATGGCTTTTGTCAAACTCAGTTTTCCCTTTCTTATTCGCCCATGGGTCATAGCGCATAAAATAAATGTCCGCTCTCTATCATCATTGCGTGTTAATGACAAAAATATTCTTGTTGATCTTTAACGTTAACGTTAAGATGCCCGGGAGAATTCGATCATGGTGCAAAAGTGAACAATTACTCCCAAATTCAATTCCCATAGTCATTTCTAATATTGGTAATTTTCCAAATTTTCAAGTAGTTTGTTTAGAAGTGAATCTTGGGCCAGTCCGGCCGAAGCTCTAGGCCGGCGCTGTGATTGTGCCTCACAGGCCGTGGGCCTGATCTGTACACACCCGCTGATCCGCTGATCCGCAATCATTAGCTTTTGGATCATTATCAAACCACACCTACCTTTTTTCGACATTATTCTTTTAATCAGTGAATTTAAATCAAAGAAAATCTTACTAGGCTCTTTTCGCGTGCGATCACTGTGTGAAAACTGTCCAACGGATCAATATTTCCGAGCTTCACGATATAAATACATAATCGAGTATTTATCCGCCGCTTTCCCGTCCATCCGCCGCTTTCACCGCGTTATCCCGCTTTTCCCGGATTATTATCACGGTTATTTAGGTTATTATTTGGGTACGCTGATAATTTCCAATTTAAGGGGATGGCTAAAGCGGGGGCAAATCACGTGATTGTGTACGGAATCGGCCGGAAAATACCAAAACGATTATTGGCCA